GCTCAACTCCTAACTCACATTTCCCCTTCCTTGCTTTCATGCCTCCGCCCCTCCTCGCCTATCTCTGTACAATCGTCACCTCCTGCCCATTTGCTTCCCGTCTCATATTCCGGGGCATATCCTCGCGGTGAAAGAGACTCCTTATGAACCTAGACTTGCCCAGCTTTGTTATTTTCTCTTTTCCCAAATATCGCCGCTTTGTTTATCTCGTTTATCTTTTTCTGTTTTTCTTCAAAGAATGCTTTCCCCCGAAATGTGGACGCGGTTGTCGTCAATTCTCTCTGTTACCTTCACCTCAAGCTCTGATCCGTCCAATTATTTTGTGTCCCCGTTCCTCACTTTTGCTCGAGGTGTCGTGGTCTTGTTCTCCTGTACTACTGTTGTTAGAATTCATACCCAGGGCTTGCTGCTTGCTCTACTGGACACCACCCATTCTGTCATTACCGCCCCTTCTCGCCATAGATCTGTTTCTGCGTGACGAATTATGTCTTCCATAACCAGACTATCTCTATCTACAAATGGATGTGTGCGTTGTTTGTGTTAATTGAAGTTCAAGTTGGATCCTGAGTTGAGAGTTTCGTGCTTTTTCATTTGTATTTTCTTTTATTTCTTATTATTTACAAGTTGTACACAGATTAAGAGAGTCTGAAAGTTACGCTTATCAGAGAGGATATAAAATGGATTTCATACAGCCCCGGAGGAAAAATTTGTGTCATTCATTATGTCTTGTACTTCGCTTTCTTTGTTGTATGTTGACCAAAATGAATTGAAAACACTTTGTTCTAGAGGAATTAACCAGCGTCGGGTAGATCATCCATTTAGGCTGATATCATGGTTTGTTGAACATCCTCCCTATTCCCTCTTCATGGTGGCCCTGGCCCCTGAAGGCTTGCAGAGATGTCATATCACCTACGAATCTCTTTCTCGCCGAGGGCTGGACTGGTCGTCACGAGGGCTGGCATGTTGAGGTTTCTCTTAATCCTTGCCGAACGAATCCTGGACTGAGCTCACGCGATATATTCCCCACCGTCCTGAATCCAGACAAGCTAGACAGACGAGCGAGAGCATTGAAAAGCCTGAGCATGAGCCGACCATGATGCCATCATCGTCCAAGCCCAGCTAGCATAACACGAAAAAATCTCGTAGCGAACAGAACCAACCGACTTTCTTCATTATAAAAACACTACCACAATCAGCACCACCCCCAATCAACGGGAAACAAGAAAAGAATAAAAACTCACCAGCCCTCTCAAGCCCATTTATCATGTTTGCCACTAACCTTAACATCCAACAAAATCTCATGGAAATTCCCTTCCCTCCTCCCCTTCCTCAACCTCCTAACCTCATCATCATCCAATCCCCGTCCAACAATCCCCTCAAGCTCCTTCTTACTAATCTTCTCATACGCTTTGCTCTCCTTGGAAGCGCGCAACTTCGGCTTGAATCTCGCCTGCATGCGCACGCGCACAGTCGTCTCAAAGGAAATCGTATTCGCGTCGCCGCGGATCTCAACGCCGGAAGATGCTTTGGCGTTTTCTTTTATCGAGAGGAAAGACTCGCCGTCGCCGCCGTGTGTTTGGAGGGAGAAGGTTCCTGAGACTTCCGGGGAGGGGATTGCTAGGAAGGATTCGTAGTGGCTGACTGCTGAGGCGGTTGCGGAGAATAGGCCGTGTGTGTCTGACGAGAGGTATCTGGAAGAGAATTGGTTGTTAGTTGGATCCATGGAAGGGAAAAAAAGGAAATTGGAAATTGGAGGTTGTGTGTATGCGATAAAACACAGTATTTACTCACTTCCCATGATGTCCCTTGAAACTAAACGACTCCGTTCCCGCCACCCGCGACGCAACCCAGACCTGTCGCACATCGTGTGGCTCCGCCGTGGCCGGGTCTCCCTCGACGAGATTCTCGAGCTTGCTGGCGAAGACTTGGCCATTGGCGTCGCTGGCGACGCAGGTTGGGTCGTCTGAGGGTAGGACTAGGACTACTGGGCCGGCTATGTCGCTTGGTAGGTCGGCGGAGACCCAGCTTTGGTCTTCTGGGTTGTCTTCGGGTTCGGGCTCGGTTTTGCGCGATTTGGGGGTTGGGGCTTCGGTGTCTGCTGTGCGGGTCTTGCGCTTCTTTGGCTTGTCGCCTTTGAATGTTAGAGGTTTAACCATTGTGCTGGATTAGGAATTGGTGTGGTTGTTGGAGCTTGGAGAGTTTGCGGCGGGGAGAGGCCGGGCTTGGCTTGATGACGGAATGTGGACACCGTTGACTTTCTTTATTTGAACATTTATAGTACAATTTGATATAAGCTCCTCTCTATATTGTATAATATCGCAGATCATATTTGAGAGATTGTTAAGCTCAAAAGTACCTTGGCCTAGGTCCTCACGTCCTCACTTTCATAAAGTCAAGATGCCCCGTAGTTCAGAAAGAGAGTCAATTCTATTAACCTCTATGAAAATGTATGTTGCAATTCCCAGTCTAGATCTAATCGAAGACGATGGCAGCTTTGATAGCAGTCTTGTTGCGCATCGCCTCAAGACACTCCTCCCACTGCTCAATCTTGTACACCTTGTTCACAATCCCATCCACCTTTACCTTGCCAGAGTCAAGATAGTCAACAGCAGCAGGGAACTTGTAGGTCTCAGAGAAACTGCCGAGGATAGTGATTTCATCACCGACTGGAATGAAATCAGCAAAGAGTTCAAGAGAAAGCAACAAGAAAACTTACAGATCTTAGCCGGCGACCACGAGACCCGAACCTCACTCGAGTACACGCCGTACACAACCAGCTTACCGCCACGACGAACATAGTTAATCGAGTCCTCAAGAATCTTCTGGCTACCAGTAGCCTCAACAACAATATCGAATCCATACGGGTTCTCGGCCTTCAGAGCATCAAATTGAGCCTGGGGACTCTCGCGCGAGAGCTCAATGTACTTATCACCAGCACCAAGCTTCTGGGCCAAATCCATCTTTAGACCTCCAGGAGCAACAACAACGACATTGCAACCACCGTTCTGGCGCAGCATCTGAGCCAACACCAGACCAGTTGGACCGGCACCGAAGATCAGCACGGATGAGCCCATCTTCGGGGCGATTTTGTCCAGACCGTGGGCGGCGCAGGAGGCGGGCTCGAGGAGAGTTGCGTCAATGTCGGAAAGGTTTTTGATCTTGAAGACTCTGCCAGCTGAAAGGAAATCCAAAATTAGAGTTGAGAGCCCGGTACGCTTTTGATATGCTCTACTTACCAGGATAGGCGCAGTATTCAGCGAAACCGCCATTCATCGTCACACCGTGGGCCTCGAAGTGCTCACAGAACAGTTCATCGCCACGGCGGCAGTAGAAGCACGTTCCGCACAGCTCGGAGTTATCTGCGACGACTCGCTCGCCAATCTCAAAGTCTTTGACCTTGGGTCCAATGGCGGCGACTACGCCGACGGTCTCGTGGCCGGGGATCAGAGGGAACTATGGACTTGTCAGCACATCAATGCATGGGTGCTTGATATGGTGGAAAGACATACCTTGGCAATGAATTCACCCTCGTGGATGTGCAAATCAGTGCCACAAACACCACACGCCTTGACCTTGATCTGATCGTTGGAGAGTTTGGTCAGTCCGCTTCCCTGCAAATTGATGGACGACTTCATACCAGGACATCATTCTCACGGAGCTCAGGCACAGGAACCTCAACAATCTTGTGCTTCTTGGGCTCTGAATACTGTAGAGCATGCATGGTCTTGGGGATGGGGGCTGCCATGATTGAAGGTGAGTATGTTATGGGGAGGGAAGAGAAGGGAAAGGTTGATGAGATACCAAAATCGTGACTGAAAAATAGGGGGAAGCAAGATGATCAAATCAATATAAGTAGCTTATGAAAGAGGGAAAACTTCTCCCATGTCTCATCAAACTGCCCGATACTCAAACATCTCCAGGGCTTCAGACGAAGTATACAGATCTTGCAATGGGATGTGGGTCGAAATCGGCGTCATTTTCGTGCTTGCATCCTCCTCCACTGATATGGGAGATTGCTATCTATGCCATTTCTCATATCTTCATCTCTTCTGAATCTCAACCATGAGGTTTTACGTTTACGTTTGCGCCAAGTGTGATCGAATCGGAACAACCCCGCGGGGCTCAGTGGGCTTCGGCAGTTATGGATCTTGTATGGATCTTGATTGATCTGGATTGATACTCAGTGTGTCATATCTTATTGCAAATATCACTTTAGTGGTTTCAATGGATATGAAGATATCGCAAATTGCCTCATTCACTATCTAGACGCCCCGGGGCCAAAACACCGGGTACTTGTCAGCACCGATATCCCAGACAAACCCGAAAAGACAAAAGTCTCGCCCTAACAGCTGATCAAGCTCCTCGGAAAAGGCAAAACGAAGCCAAAAATAGGTCCCTATCTCACACCTAGGATCCCAAACATTTCACCGCTTCTCCGCGGCACCCGCCAAGGAAGAAGCAATTCCCAAACCAGAAGCACCGAACCCAGATCACGCGGGATAGGATATCCCCGATAGTTGAATTTTGATTCCAGAGCTGTCGAATGAGGCGCCCGAATCGACGCACCGAGACACATGTACTGGACATTTTGACCGCTGCGGCAAGAGCGGGAAATGGCCCCGGATACAGATGGGCTGTGGCTTCTGGGTTAATCGGCGAATTATTGTATGATCGGTTATTGTGACTTGAGGACTATGGGGTGCATATGCGTCACATATGCAGCCACTTGGCTAGATTTGTGCTGGTGTTTTACCCCGGAGGGGCATGCGGCATCCTCAAGGGATTTTTGGAATTGGCTGATTTACAGGCATACTCAAAAGTAGAAACTAGGTATCTTCAATTTTTCAATCGCTGCACTGGAATTCCCTCGCTTTCGACTTGAGTACACGGCTCACTGATGTCAACAGTGTCTTCTTCTAGTTTAATCTATAGGTATATGCAAAACTAATCCTCAAAATGCGTTGTGAGAATACTGCATTACTGCATTAGTTGAAGTGCTTTTAGATCTCTAGTTCAAGCTTTCTATATTGATTGACAAATTCTTCAAACAGCTTGTTAAGCCCCAGGATATTCAACGGGTCCTTATCATCATCCTGATCCATAAAACAGAGCATGTTATGGATTTCAAACGTGATAGCCAACATGAAGCCCATCTCAGACTCCATATAAACCTGTTCCCCTGTATCAGAGTCCCCAGTCTTCTCATTCCATTTCTTTGCATATTCCTCGCAAAAGTGCCTCTTCTCCTCTTCCGTGTAAGGTCGACAATCAGCAATCTTGTCCTCCTCGTCAAACCACTTGAACATCTTTTGCAAAAAGTGCCCACCAATATCGAACGCGCGGTAATTTTGAAAGACGAATTCGAAATCGATGAGAACAACCTTGCTTTCTCCTTGCCTGGAGTTGTTCTTCACCATCACATTCATGAATTGCACATCGTGGATGCACCATCCTTTTTTCCTCCGATGGAGTCCAGCCTGCCTGTAACTCGTCTTATTCTAGACACGAAATCATAATCAACAAGATCATCCATATTGACACCCCCTTCGTTGGCCAGTCGCTTTAGCTTGTCCATCTTATAATATCTTGCAAGTTCTTGCGTGAGAACATCGTAATATGACTGAACAGGGTTCTTCTTCCGTTGTGTTGCCAATGTATGAAAAACGGCTTTTTCTCTTGCAACATCAGCTCGGATATCTGCGTCTTCCACATCTGCTGCCTCCAAAGTGTGCGCATCCAAGAACTCATCGACCCTTCCGAAACTACCATCCTGTGTCTGAAAGAATCCATACACTTTGGCACCAGGACCTGATTGAGCGTAATCATAGCATAGTTGTGCCTCTTCATGTTTAGTAGGAACCAAGTGCTTAAACACCTCAATCTCTCCGTCCAGTCCGCCGTGAATCTTGAGGAATGCCTTGAGGAATGCCTTGAGGGGCTCTGAATGTGTGCCATTCTTTGGCTTCGGCCGTTGCACTACACAGTTTGTGTTTGCGTATCCAGTATTGTATGTCACAACGAGAGTTTCTGGATCCACATTTGGCCACTCGTTTGTGAGAAACGTGCTGACAATATCTTTGATCATGGCCTTATTCAATGAGCCATCTTTTGGAATAACCACAGGGATGTTTGTAGTGGTTGCCATCTTGTGTCCGTGTGAGACGATGGGCTAGAAGGTCTGGTAAACAATCAGACAAATAGCAGACATGAGAAGCGATTGTTTCGACTGAAATTAGATACACAGAAAAGGAGGTGCCTTGTGAGTCATCGAGGTTGGAAAGGTGAGATTCTTAGCAAAGAGGGGCTATACAGGTGTACCTTGACCTCAGCTGAGGTCTGTCAGCTTCAAATATTCTTCGCTTATGCACAGAGCTAATATAGCTCATTGAATCTTTGAAATTTAGAGGCGGGAGTTATTGCCCCAGCCACTTCGGCACAGATCTGATCAAAGATATTCGTCGGTTTATCTTATGCTGAATTGAACCTCTTGGGTTCTAACCCATGCCGCGCAAATAACCGGCCTGGTAGTGAGGAGTTAAGGTTTTTTTGGGAAGTGCACCGAGTTAGGAACAATGATCTCCAGGGCATTGTTTGATCAAGAATGGGATAGGTAGTGTTTCATGAGTAAAGATGGGAAAGAGTGTGGCCTGGTAATTTCAGTCGCTCAGCCAACTGGCGGGTGAAATGACCGTCTTTCAACGAACTCTGAACATTCTCTTGTCTATGAAGCAGATGAGCTACAAGGAAGGAGTGCAAGTCATTCTTAAAGAGAAATATCCAGAACTGTATGCAGACCGCGAGAACCTCGACTACGGGATCTACGGGACATACTAGTGCCTGAGATCGAACGGAAGCACTTTGACAAACACATTTGGGGAGAAGAGAGGAAGAAAGATGGGCGAGGGGGTTATATCCCTGGCAATTCGCACCTTCCCTGATTTCTTGGTTGTACTATTGTACGCTATGGCTCTTTCCCATCCTAACACTTCCCTGATAATGGTATGGTATACATATTCATGCATCAAACAAAAGAGCCGTCTCCGACCCAGGCCAATCCAGCGAAGCATCCATAAACCCAAACAACGGATCATACGGAATATCAAGTCCAAACAACTCCGTATCTTGTTCCTGCCCAGTAGAAAACTCCAGACCATTACCAAAAACAGACGATCTGCTCGGGAACATCCCAACGATAGCATCTAGCTCAAATCCACCATTCAACCCATCCACCGGAGAGATAATCTCAACTTGAGAAGCAGGAGTCATTGTATGAACCACAGAAAGGTCAAGTTTGCTTGCCTCGGCCAATTTCCGTATGATGCTCGCAGGTCTGCAGACGCCAGGATTCGCCACTGAGATCTCATCGAGGCAGGTCAGACCTGCTGCTAAGCGGGAGACATGTTCCTTGTGGTGGGCGTTTGCGAAGGCGTTGCGGACGTGGATTGTGCATGCTACGTAGATAGCGTAGCTAAGAATATAAGGTGCGCCATGGAGACCGTATGCGGATTTATAGGCCAGTGAGATGCTCGTGATGTTATTTGCGGCTACGGTGCAGCGGCTCCATGATGAAGCTGATGTTGTAATGGATCGTAGATGGCCATCGGAGATGAAGGGTCGATGGAGGAGGATGATAAGGGAGTTGTAGATGCCGTGGAGGTTCATTACATTGGGAGCCGGGTGTGATTTTGAATGGACGGAATGTGACCATGGCTTAAAGTCTAGTTCGGGTGGAAGGCTTTCTTTCCAGGAATTGAGGGCATTGTCCGCGAGTTGGAGACTGGCCGTGGCGGAGCTCGGGGACCGCACTCCTCCGACTGTGTAGAAGTGATTGGTGATTTTGGTCATGATCCTGGATAGGAGACAGAGCTGTTGGAAAGTAGACACAGAATATATCGTGGGTTGTGAGGATGGGGTATGCAATTTCGAGTTGGGGGGTGGTATGAAAAGCTCATGTTCCTCGAATGTATCAAGGAATTCACGACTGACATGCGAGTCGCGCAGGTTCATAGCGACAGGCCGGCCGAGGTAGAGGCTTTGTATTTTGTCACAGACAAAAGCACCCCAAAACACACGGCGACGGATTTCCATTTCTTCTGCGTCATCATTGGTCTCCTTGGGGTCGAGATGTAATCCCAAATCATACACCATACGCAGAGCATAGCCTGTGTATAACCAGCCCTTTGAAGTTTCGCCACGGGCATTAAACGTAGACCCGAGGAGCAAAAGTCCAATTATTGTTGGAATACTTGGACGGATAAGATGTGATTCCTGGGCTAGAAGGTCGTCACACCGGCGAAAAAAACGCCGGCCTGTCGTGGCTGGGTCGACTGGGTCATCGCGTATATCAATGCGCGAGGAAAATTTGCTTGCGCAGGCAAAGATGGCATTCAGCAAAAACCGGGAGCAGTTTGGTCCATCACCTTGGGGCAGATCGCGCATGATTGCCGGGCGATAGGTTAGAAGAAAGGTGTGATGTTGCCGAGCCCAGTGTACATCTAACAGATGCAGAGCGAGCTCAGTAGGTACACCATCAATATCTGGGAGACGAAGCAGCAGACGCTCATTTTGTCTTTGTAGGGCTGCATTAGCTATAAGCTTATTTTTCATGTACTCTCTGTTCAACAATTGAGCCGAAGGCACTGGGGGTACTGATTCGCTTTTGTTTGGATAATGCAGAGCAGATGAAGGACCAAAACTGCCAGTTCGGCCGGCCTCATCTACAGATATAAAAGGTGCAACGTCGAAATCTTCATCCGAAGAGGTAGCTAGGCTGTTAAGGCTTTGCCGGCGGTTCTGGCTGGGTTCAAAATCTCCAGCTACTGCTAGGCTGGGTTCATCTCCCTCTTCGCCTTTCAGTTTCACAATGAAAGCTCTGAGTTCTGTATTTTCTTGTTGCAACCGGTCTATTTGAGCCAGGGTCGGTCTAGATTGGTTAGCCAACTGTCCAAAATGCAAGGGGAACAAGCCCACCTCTGCCGCGGCGTCTCCACCCGATAAATACATTCCCGGCCTTGGGTCTCGCAAGTTGAACAGCGAGGCCGGACCGTGTCACAACGGATCTTTCGAGATCGACAATGTAGACATGCTTTGGCGAGGGATTTAGGGAACCGAGTCATAGCCGAATTGTTGAGGAAGAGAAAATGTGGGGTAGAATTATAGTGAAGATCAACATTATGTCTAGCTACATACGGCAGGTGATACCATGATACTTAAGATATACATTTACGCTCTACTAAATATGTCTTTAGTACGAAAGGTTGTGTATTTTCCAAAGTAGCAGATGCTCTAGTCTGTGCTTCCAATCCGAGATCTTTTATCTACTGTGCACCTTATTATGTTGTTGGGATATATATTTCTGGCATATCTTCCTCTTTCTACGCATTGAGATAATTTTCCGAGCTTGCATTACAACAGTCATGTAGGTATCTGGATAAGTCTTCACGTTGATTAAGATATTTATATGTGAAAGGATATCTACATGCATCAAGCTCTTATTCCACATGGAATATGCATCTGTCCGGTGTATGCAACTTCTACCGCTTGGTGCTACTAGTATTCTTGAGCATCTCTTCCAAATGCTGTAAGCCAAATTAGTCATAAAATCTCTGATAGACACAACTCCAATGCTTACCTGCTTCTGCTCAACGGCTAATTTGCCTTGGGTATCCTGTTTCCGATTAGCGCGTGGTCCCCAAACACAGAGACAGCAACATACGCTAATGATGGTTAAAATCAATGAATAATTGTTGAAGAGGAATCGCTCTCTTCGCTTTGCGTCTGTGCCGTTGCGACTCAATTTTACCAAAAGAGCATCGAATTCGGCAGTCAACCGGGCCAGGCTGTTGGACACCGGCTCATCATCACCAGCATCGCTGCTGAGCACAAGGATTCCATGAAGAAGCTGTCCAAATCGTTGAGTCAAAAAATGGGGTGCCGAAGACTGCTTCAGGTCGTCTCCGCCTGCAATTGAAAGGGCAGAGATAGCACTGCGCCCAGTGTTGGACCCAACTCGCTTGAGCGAGTCTCCGTGGTGATCCATAATCACTTGGAAGCGCGGCCAAAGCTGCATGTTGGTTCCATTAACATACGAGTCAGCAACGGGCACCTTTCGACGCTGAAGCTCGAATGCTGAATGTTGGTTGAGACGAACACACATGAGGACACCCAGAGAATCCGTGGTGTGCTCGATTAACTTCTTGGTCTGGTTCTGGCCAAGGGTAAAGACCTGCTGGAATATGTCCGCCGCAATGCGGGAGATTTGATGGAAGGTCTTTGGGGAGAAAAACTCCGTCAGGAAAGAGTACTCGGCGCACACATTGTCCACCAATGCAAGGTTGAAGCTCCGGAACGGAACTTCGATTCCATGGTAGGTATTGTCCTCTTCGGCTACGTATGAGGATAAAGCCTGGAGATTGCCAGTTCGGAGGACGTCAATACGTCTACCCAGGGAGAAAGGGTCATGTACGGCAGAGCCAGCTCGGCCGCCAGGGATCATGTTCCCTAAAACAATCAGTATATAGGTGGCATGGGAGAAGTATAACTCTTACCTGATCGATGTGTGGATGGATCGCCTCCAAGCACCTCGTTTCGGTCAGGAGGATAAACCTTGACCTTATCGAGTGCTTGAAGATAGCGTGTGAAATGAGATGTGTAATACCAGCGCATTGTGTTGATGTACGCCTGTGCTATCTCTCCTGCCAGCTTTGGGTGGACGTTTGAGAGATAACTATATAGATCTTTAAACTTCACCAATCGCTGTTGTTGGATAATCTGAGAGTTGATGTTTGGCGATCGCATAGCACGAATCTGCGACACAAGATAGTCTCTTATCCTTTCAACGGCCTGTATATATGTCAATGCAGGTCTAAATAATTTGAGTGTAGAATGCTTACTTTAGTCTTTACGTCGACCAAAAGAGGCCGTACATCCTCGACGGCTTTATAGCCATTGGCGGAAGCGGCGGCCTTGGCCTCGATGTTTGTAGTTCGAGAATCGATCTCGTTCAGTGCACGCACCCAATTATCATCAATTGGGCCCTCGACAATTGTCCGCACCGCCTTAGGGGAGATACTGATCTCTTCCACGGCGGGTCCTAGCAACCGTTCCACGTTCCGCCTGTTCTCTAGCATCGCGTTCAATTGTGTTGAGCGAGATTGCAAAGTTTCAATCTCCGCCGATACGGCACCCAGTTCATTTTGGAAGTCATTCAGGTACAGCTCGACTGACTTGGACACCTCATCACATCCAGTAATGGATGTGTGTAATTCTTGAAACTTATCTCGCTCTTGTTCAAACTGCTGGACAGTTTGCGCATTTATATCACTTTCACGGGTCTTTTTCTTTGGTGTTGGGTCCTCCTTTTCCAGAAAGTCCTCGAGACTCAGTCCGTCGAAACGGATAGCTTCCACCAATTGCGCGGGTCGTTCCGGCACCGACGATAGCTGTGGCACATGCTTATCTGTTTGAGTTTCCTTTCCGATGATTTCATTCAAGACTTCTAGCGGATCGGGGACATTGGCCGGTCGAGGTCGTTGAATACTTGTCTGCTTTAAAGGAGAGCCATTGGTCGCCCGTGCAGTTCCCGGAAGAGAGGTTGTAGATTCGTTGGGGGTCAAGAGCAGAGATGTTGATGAACTTCTAGATGTTATACCAGGGCGAGTATTGTAAGGACTTGAAGATAGCTGGGAGGATGATCGTCGTGGTAGAGGAGAAAGGTTGCGGCTATTGGCTCCGGAGGGAGTTGACTGGACTGAAATGCGGTCGCGCCACATTATGTAAAAGGATGAACGGCATGAGAATCCAGAACAAATAAAGAAGATCCAGAGTTATACTTGGAAAATTTAACCAAGTAAACAGCCAACAATGTAGAAAATGTTGTAGTTGTTAGGTTGTTTCAGGACACTCGGACACTCCCCTATATACACTAAACCCAACAAGGTGGACTACCTTCGTTTAGCCAATCACAATTCAGTAAGAGACCCCGCCACAGCGTCGCCGCCCACGATAGATTTTAGTCGTTTGATTTTCTCTCTCTTCTCTTCATTTTTCCCCCTCCCCAAATTCTTTGAAAAACTCCCCTCTTTCAAACCCCTCCAAATCTATTCACTATGTCTGCCGAGGAGGTATGTATTTTCTATTTTGTTCAACTTTCCCCAATGGTCATGAGAAACTTCTCTCTGCCCCGCATGCGGCTCCTCTTCTTCTCCTTCTTGAGGCCATATTGGGCTCTTAACCCCGCCTATTGGCAAATTTTCAAAGCGCTGCTTGCTAACATATTTCGATACAGCACGATGTCACTTTCGATTCGGCTGATGCCGGAGCTTCGCTCACTTACCCCATGCAGTGTTCTGCTCTGCGCAAGAGTGGTCACGTTGTGATCAAGAACCGCCCCTGCAAGATCATTGACATGTCTACCTCCAAGACTGGCAAGCACGGTCACGCTAAGGTTCACTTGATCGCCACCGATATCTTCACCGGCAAGAAGCTCGAGGATCTCTCCCCCTCCACCCACAACATGGACGTTCCCCACGTTGTTCGCAAGGAGTACCAGCTCGTGAGTTAACCCTAATGACTTGGGAATTTTGGATTGTTTGGCTGACCAACAATTAGCTCGACATCACTGAGGATGGCTTCATGTCCCTCATGACCGATAACGGTGACACCAAGGATGATGTCAAGGTCCCCGACAACGATGTTGGTGAGAAGATCAACCAGATGTTCCTTACCGAGGAGAAGGAGTGCAGTAAGTTACAATATTCGAAACGAAGTCTTTTGAGGAACTATTACTGATCTTCTGATAGACATCGTCGTCCTGACTGCCATGGGCGAGGAGGCCGCTATGGAGTGCAAGGAGGCTCCCAAGTCTGGTTAAATTTAATACCTGGATTTATTACCTGTTATGCCAACCTTTATGTTCCACGAGGGCTCAAAGCCCCCCAAAAATTTTATCTTTCATGGTTCAAAGGAGGATACGATTCTTTGAACGATTATGTCCGTTGCTTCAAGATCTGTCCCCCACATAACCTTGGATGTGGGCTGGACCGAGAATTGCTTTGGTTGGCATAATATGTGTTGTCCGAACAGTTCTGAGTCTCAGCATCTCATGATAGTGTGATGAATGAATAAATACTCAATCTTGCTTGACCATTTGACTATCCGAGGATTCTAGTAAATTATAACGTAGAGGAATAGATTTAAGATCACAGTTAGATCCTAACACAAAATATACACAAGTGTAACCCTAGACAAACTTGAGTAAACGCGATAATAAAAAGTACATAGAACCTCAAATCATCTGAAGTCCATCAATCACAGGGCGCGCATTGCGGGACGTGTGGAGCGACAAAATCGGCGGTCACTGGAATTTGAGGCAGAAAAAAAGTCCCGCCATATCGGTATACCAACCCTTCCTTATCAAACCAAGCATGAACAAATCCCTT